GTTCAGCAGAAATCCTCTGCTTTCATCTGTCACTGTCTGTACGTACAGCTCTGTGAGAAACTAGAAACACAATTTAGATTTTTTAATGTTGGTCCTTCCTTTACTCACAGCTAGTCATTACTGCACTTCTACAATTTAGAGTCTCCGGTCAACCCAAGCTGCATGTCTTTGGACTGTGGGAGGAAGCCGGAGAGAACCCACACAGGCACGAGGAGACTCCACACAGAAAGGCCCCAGGTCGGACGGGGCTCGAGCCCAGAACCTTCTAGCTGTGAGGCGACAGCACTAACCACTGCATCGCTGTGCTGCCCGTTACTGCGCTTTAAAAAATAAAAATCTAGCACATCAGCTTGAATTCACTTAAATATCCACTATTTCTTGTGCAAAAATGTTCCCACAAGAAGTAAATATAAGGAAGTGAAGTGATCCACTGGGAGTTGGTTTGCTGCTTTTAGACTTTAAACAAAATAACACACAGGTCTAAAAATCATGGTCAGAAATTTTGGTGGAAGTTAAATCATCAATGAGTTAAAAATTTGAATGATTGTACAGTTGTAAAGAGTGGGTTCATCTGTCCCTCCAGCGGCTCCATCAGGAGAAGTGTCCCGACATTTAAGTGTCCTTGTGTTCGAGTACGTCTCTTCTGGGAACAGGAAAGACGTTCAGAAATGTAAGAAGAAACCAAGAAATTAGGAAAACAAACACTTTTACTTTTAGGCCCAGCTGCCATAAAGCCAAGATCATTGATAACATGCAAATGAAATGGTGGAATAAAAGGCAGAGTTGCAGACTGTGTCCTTTGACCGTTTGTTACCTGCCTGGCGGTTTACCATGGAAAGCTGCCATGAGCGCCAGTCTGTCCAAAGCTCAAATGGCAAAACAACTTTCTGTATGTTCGAGGGGTAGAAGCCAAAGTGCTGAGCCACCCAGCCTGAAGAAGGGAGTGAGTTGTTTAATCTTTTTCATATCTGTAAATGTATTGTGCAGCGTCTTTCTTGTGGTGGGTCTGTGGTGAAATGATTACCATCTGGCGTTTTTCCAAGAAACAGACTGTGATTGATTTAGTATGTTTTAGCTGTGAGAGCTTCATTCGTGTACATCTGAGAAGATATTCCAGTGTAAAACATCAGCCAGATTGTCTGCAGTTACTTTCACTGTAAATATTTCTTTTACTGTGCATCTTGTTTGACTGTAACCCCTGAATTTCCAGATGTACAGCCAGTCTGTATAAAAGTAGAATCCACCCCAGTGGTGTTTAGCTGCGTGTTTTACCAACCTTGACTTGGTTCTCTTTGGCTCTTGCCGTTCAATTTCAAGGACGTAACAGTTTCATTTGCATATCAGTGGATTGATCCACAGTCTAAACCTCACGAGCAGACACACAATATCCCTGCATGATTTTAGATGTGATATTGAGCTTTGTTGTGTTGTGTATGTTATTTTTCATATAAAACTGGACAAGATCTTTAGCAGCTAATTCCATTTAAAGCAACAAACCGGCAATGCAGAATTTGTTTTAGCTTGTAAAAAAGAAAAAGTTTATTATTGACAGCTTTGTTTAAAGATTGATTGGAAACCTCCACTGTCTTCCTCAGGTAATTGAAATAAAGATTCATTGACGACTTGACTGTGGGCAGAGTTTATTCCAGCTGCTGTTGGCAGTGAGAGGATAAAGTCACAGAGTGTGTGGTGGTTTCAGGTAGAGTTAATTTAGTCCTGAGATCAAAAGTTCATGTTGGTTTTAGTCAGCCTTTGTTGTCAACTTGTAATCAGCATTTCAGTCAGTCTCCAGCAAACTGCTTTTAAATAAAGTTTAAACTGATTTTACGTAAAATAAAAAGCGTTGTGTGATTTTATGATGCAGCTTCGAGGGCGTCTGGTCCGAGCTTTTAAGCCAAAACATCCAGACACCAAAGAGGAGCAACAACATTAATAACTATTACAGTATGAGTCAGTGCGCTCTGTTTGGTTAGACAAACCTGAGTATCCAGAAACATGTCTACACGGTCTGACCCTGTACAGCAGCGGTAAACGCAGTCCGTAGTGTTCAGGTTTGTCAGCCGATGCCAGACACGTGATGGTTTTATTCTGGTTTGTCATATAGACACTACTGTACCAGCTGTGTGGGTTCAGACCTGTCGCCTGTTGGTGGCTGGGCAGGGAAGGCGCAGTGGGTGTGTTTGGTGCTTTAATACTAGTGATCAGCGGCATCTGACTTCAGTGGGATCCCCCTGTGGTTCTGTTTCTGCTGTAGGTTGCGTCATTGTCACAGCACTTGTTCTGAACACCTCAGTCAGCAAGTTTTATCATCTAAAACTTTGAGATTGTCTTGGTAATACATGTCCCCAATTGGTCAAAAATGGCTCAGTGCTGCTTTGATATAAACACAAATATTGTACAAAAGCTTCTGGAGTTTTGAGTAGAAGCGAATCACTTTGCCGATTGTTCTTCATTGAGGGGCTCAGTTATTGTTTGATGATGATTTCCAGACTTCCTCCTGGGTCTGCTTCACTAACAGCAGCTTCTCCCCACATGGGCAGGTGTAGTCTCACCAAAGTGATGGTCAACTAAAGTCACAGGTTTGTTGCGGTCACCCTGAAAATAGAATGTGGGACGTCATTCCATGATAACCCAGTTTACAGTAAAAGAAAGACATTGTGCTGACAAATAATGTCCCAGGTTAAAAAAAATCATCACTCATATTTTTCCATAAGCTGTAATATTTGTTTGACTGGTGTACAGTGAAAACCTCCATGATTAAAGGAAGAGCTGCGTTTCTTGGATTTGGAGGGTCTGAAATGGGATAGGCCTTGTCAAACTGTTACTCCGTCTACAGTTTGGACATGGTGACCCTGAAGGGTTGCTCCTCTGATTTATGACACTCCAGTGATGGTACACTGAGTGAACAGGTGGAACACTTTGACCAGACTTGTTTGACATTCATGTTAATTGTTGATGTGACTGACCTTGGCATCTATTTGGCATCACGTCTTCTGTTACAGTATGTTTTTCATCGTTGTTCTGTCCAAGATCCACTTCCCTTATGAGCCCCCCAGGCTCTACCCGGTGTTTGCAATCTGGACTTGAGTAAGAGAGGACACGACAGGTTCCATTCGTGTAACGGTTAGATTTTTCTGCTAACCTCAGAGTAAAAATTCTTCCTTGAAGTGAGTGTAGCATTTGAAAAAAGAGATTATACATTAATTTTCTTACTAATAAATAAATAAATAAATAGTGGAATGCATTAGCAATAGAACAATCTTTCAATACACTGAGGAGGTTGGCTTCTACAGCCTGGTATGACCAGTAGCTTGTGGTGGCTAATGCCAGGTTTGATGATTCCTTTGAATAAATGCAGGTGAAAGTCCAGACTTTCAGGATGTGTTCCTGGAATAGTTCCTGTGGTGAAAAGGGGGTTGAAGCAAAACACAAAAGACTTATCTTGTTATGTCTGGTCTTCTTAAGACAGTGTGAAAAGAATTTTCCTAGAAAGAATGAATGCCTTTTAGGAAAAAACATACAATATGTGATGTGGCTCTTGTTGTTTTGTTTAAGAGGAGTAAATATGTTAACAGTGTTTCTCCCCCCCCCCGCTGCAGGACCTGTCTGCTGTGGAACATGCAATAGAAGAACCAGCTGTGTCGTCATATTCAGCAGTACAATCAACCCATACAGTCGATTTCCCACTGACATGGCCTCCTCCCCAGGGTTGGGTCGTGACCCGTTACCGCTGCTTCAGCTCCAGGAGGTGGACTCCAGTAAAGCTTCAGAGAGGCCCAGCTCCCCAGGACTCCTGCCCACCATGTACAGTCCTCCTGTGGACATGGACAACCACGCAGTCTGCATTCCCTCTCCGTACACAGACAGTAGCCATGAGTACAACCCTGGACACGCACCTCTCACTTTCTACAGTCCACCTGTGCTGAACTACACCAGGCCACCCATCACCGACCGCCAGTCCTCACTGGGCCCCCCCTTTGGCCCCTCAGCCTTCTGGTCCCCCCACGGCCACACCAACGTGCCTTCACTGACTCTGCGCTGCCCTCAGCCTCTCGTCTATAACGAACCTAGCCCACATGCACCATGGCTGGAGTCCAAACCCCACAGCATCACCCCCAGCAGGTGGGATCACTGACACTGTCCCATGGATATGAAGTAGCACAGAAATATTATTTATTTCAATTTAAAAAAACAATTTCCAACCAGATTTCATGTCCTCATTCAACCTAAAGGTGTGTTTAATGCAGTCTGCAGTCAGTTATTTATTATCAGGTTGTACAAAGAAGAACATGTTTCATGAGGTGATTATCAAAATGGATAAGTCATTTTTCATTTTGTTGTATAAGAAATAAGGTCTGTGGTTAATAAAAGGTCGATACATTTTCATTTTTGTTCTCTGACATAAAATCCACCTTCACTTGCATAGGTCAGCTTTTAGATGGTAATTTACTTCTAAAAAAGCATGTGGAATTAAATCATTTAGTGGTATTGCACCCTTGTCCCACAGTGAAACACAAAATAGGCGTGTTTAATTAATACTTGTGTTTTTTTTTAATTTGGCATTGATCTGATAATGTTTCTTTTGTCTCTTAAAGAAACTGAACTTTGTCCACAAGTTGTATTTTGATGTGCTGACATCGACCTGTGCAAACTGCCAAAATAATACACCTTCAACGTTGGTGTATACTTGGTAGCATTAATATAAAGCATGGGCTTATGACACACAGTGTTAAGTTTCATCCAAATACACCTGATCCACAGTAACCCCAGTACTGTCACATTACAAACCTGTCAGATGGATCTATTTTCTCTTATTCCACTGCGTATTTAGTAATTGCCGGTGCTAGCAGCTCTCCAGTTGATGGCCATAAAGACACCAGCCATGGATGATGATTTATATACCCATTATGTTACAATGATGAATGCTGTCAGCTTTCTGATGCAGTTTTCCAGTTGAATGAAGTGTGGTTGTGGAGACATTTTCAGGGGCACAGTAGCTGTTGGAGGACTAACAGCAGGTGAATGACAGGCCAACGTTCCCAGTGTCAAGTTGTCCTTTTTCACAGAGTCTGTGTTTCTTCCTATCATCAGCTGTAACAAGCTGCTGGGGAAGAGATCAGGGGAAGGAGTGAACTCCTCCTCCACGTGTTCGTCTGCACTGGGGAAAGCCGACATGCACTTCTGCGCCGTGTGCCATGACTATGCCTCCGGGTACCACTACGGCGTGTGGTCCTGTGAAGGCTGCAAAGCCTTTTTCAAGAGGAGTATTCAAGGTATGAACTTCTCTATTTCATCTAACCTAGTCACTGTCTCCTCCTTCTCTCTGTCAGTTGAAATGATTAGTTTTTTTTCTGACAGGACACAACGACTACATCTGCCCTGCTACAAATCAATGCACTATTGACAAGAACCGGCGTAAAAGCTGCCAGGCCTGCCGCCTGCGTAAATGCTATGAAGTGGGCATGATGAAGTGCGGTAGGCTCTCACCGGGTTTTACTCTAACTGGGGCTCTTGGTGTTTTGTCTTCTTAAAGCAGCACATGTTTGAGAACAAAGTGAAAAGGTAAAGGGTGTTGGCCTTGAGCTTATTCTGGCATTTGAATGTTAAAAATTCTGAAGACAATTGGATTACTTTAATTATGTGCAACTGATTAGGGATTTGGGTGCAGTTGTCTTTGTCTAAGATTGCCGGCTGTTTCTCTCTCTTGTTTTTATTGTTGCATAAAATAGCATATTAACAAAACAGGACAGAACATGGAAGACAAGATACAGTACGTTACAAAACGTGGTTTTGTGTGGGTGTGTTCAACTCTATGCAGTCTGGTACAAAAAAATAAACATAAATGAAATTTAAAGAAAGGAGGGAGGGGAAATGATAAATGTAAAATGGGAGGTGAGGTGATCGCCTGCTGTTTCTCCACAGAAAGCAAATTGAAAGCCAGGATCTTGAGAGATCCAGTTATATACACTCCCCCACCCCACTGCTGCTGACAACAGAGCCGTACCTCTCAATGACAAGGGGTTAAGTGTCCAAAGACAGTTGGACAGTTGTTCACACCGCTTGTCCTCCGTTCATCATTGGTCTTGTGCTCATTAATTAAATGTAACTCAAGACACAAAGAGTAAAACAATTCAGCACATTAACGGTAACAATCCACTCTCTCTCTCTCTCTCTCTCTCTCTCTCTCACTCTCTCTCTGAAGTCTGTCTTTTGGATTTACAGGTTTGATGGGCTGAAACTTTTGTTGTTGTTTGTAGATTTGTCCAGTTGATTTGAAGTTGTGGCACTTTACTGGAAATTGCTTTCAAAGGCAAAGTTTGATCCCACTTAATGTAAAAATTAGGTTCTTGCATTGAGATTTATCTCAAGTACGTGAAGGCACCATGGCACAAACAATTTACTGTACATGGTCTTTTTATTGTCTTGTGTGCCATGACACATTCACTTCCATTGTGTACTCTGTAAACTTGCTACACAGTGATTGGAGCCACGCTTGTCTAAAGGGAAATGGCACCGAACGTGATTAGGAAGACCTGTGTGTTTTATAAACACCTGGCAGCCAAAACAGCCACCAGAAGACATGCTTAGAGGTATAGCCCCTGCTGCGAACACACAGGGAGCTTCCACTGCATCTTCTAGGAAAGCTGAGAGTGTGGAGTGCAGGGTTTTGCACATTTATTTTGGTTTAGAACACAAGTTAAAAAAAAAGTCATCTTGCATTATGTGCGCAGGGACACTGCAGATCATGTGACAGTCTATACTTTCCATCCTCATTCAGCAGGTGTGAGGCGTGAACGTTGCAGCTACCGAGGACCCCGGCATCGTCGTGGTGGACTTCAGCCTCGGGATCCAACAGGCAGGAGTTTGGTCAAGGTGGGGCTGGCTTCTCGAGGTCAGCGGCATCTCCACCTGGAGCCCCCTCTTGCCCCGCTCGTCCACTTCCCTCAGGCAAAGCACACACACCACTCGGCCATGAGCCCGGAGGAGTTCATCTCCCGAATCATGGAGGCAGAGCCTCCAGACATCTACCTCATGGAGGACATGAAGAAACCCTTCACTGAGACCAGCATGATGATGTCCCTCACCAACCTGGCAGACAAGGAACTGGTCCTTATGATCAGCTGGGCTAAAAAGATCCCTGGTAAGTCCAGTCTTGATATGAACCTTAATTGGATAGAAGCAGTACCTTTTTTTTCACCAAATCCAACCTTAGGACTTGACTAAAGAACTTGTTACTCATTTAGTCCCGTTTACATGTGATGTTACCATATGTGAACTTGCCTGCAGTCGACTATACCTCTTGTACTAGCTTCAAGCTAGTATCAGACACATGTCAGTGTTAAATTTATGAGCTGCTGCTGTGGGGATGTGTCGAAGTTGCCGCCACATTCGTATGAAGATGCCACTCCTGCACATGCCTGGACGGCTGTGAAGGCAAGAGCTCTGTCCATAGTTAGTCACCATATCTCACTGAATTTCCAAGCTGTTTGCCAGTAATTTGGTTTCTTACAAATGCCAGACATGTATGTACAAGGCAGGATACTTGGTTAAATTAAAAGCTAAACACTTTAATTTTAATTTAATTTAAATTCTTATACTTTAGTTAGGGGCAGCACGGTGGCGTGGTGGTTAGCACTGTCGCCTCACAGCGAGAAGGTTCTGGGTTCGAGCCAGTGCGGAGTTTGCATGTTCTCCCGTGCTTGCGTGGGTTCTCTCCGGGTACTCCGGCTTCCTCCCACAGTCCAAAGACATGCAGCTTAGGTTGATTGGTGTCTCTAACTTGCCCGTAGGAGTGTGTGTGTGTGTGAGTGGTTGTTTGTCTGCGTGTTAGCCCTGCGATGAACTGGCGACCTGTCCAGGGTGTACCCCGCCTCTCGCCTGCAGCTGGCTGGGATTGACTCCAGCCCCCCATGACCCCATTTGGGACTAAGCGGTATAGAAAATGGATGGATATACTTTAGTTAATCCCTGTGGGGAAATTTCTTACTGATGGTGGCGCTGTCAGTCACTGCCTGGCCACCACGGCCGACCAGGGGTTCAGTGTCTTGCCCAGGGACACATCAACATTCAGACCGGGCGAAACGGGAAGCAGAACCACCAACCTTCCAAATGGGAGCTGCCCCCCAGGCCCCCACCCGTTTTTTTTTTTCGGGTTTGATAGTCTGATTTTATAAAAGATCCTTAGGAAGCTTCTTTGGAGAGAAGAGTGCTGGCAAGTAAAACATACAGTTCCTGTTCAGCCGTGTCAATGTTGAAGAAGACAGACTCAAACAGACCCAAGGCTTCAGTAAACATCTTCTCTCCATTGTTCACGTCAGCTATGACTGAGATGGAAATGGTGAGGGCTAAATAAACACATGACACAGAGTGAACTAGACAGAAACCCAACTGTGGATTATTGTTGACCTTTCACATTTAACCTGCAGCACTGTCTCAACTCATTGACTCTATTCTTCTTCATCAGTGGAGTTTTTCTTTTTTTCCTGTCAGCTCCTGTCCTCTCCCTTCCTTTCCTTTTTTCTCTCCTCTGTCTCTCAGCCAGTGTTCAGCCCAGCAGGAGAGGCGTTAATGTGAAGGGATCACAAAGACTCCGAGGTTTTTGAATAAAGACCCCCTCCCTTTTTTAACTCAGAAGTGAAAATGAACATAGTCTGATTTCTAAAAGATCCTTAGAAAGCTTGTACATGTGAGAAGAGTGCTGGCAAATAAAACACCTAGTTGCAGTTCAGTAATGTCATTGTTACAGATTAATCTGCTGTAGTAACAGGTATTCTGTTTCTCTGTAACTCATAAAAACATGGTTGATAATTGACTTAAAAAACTTATTTTACTAAGAATAGCTTTAACAAATTCTCTTTTTAAAAATAGAATAGTTTGATCTTTGTGCACTTGGTACATAATGTAAATTGGAGAAAACTAGCGATGTTCCCTCTGATACCACGGCTCCGAAGCACGCTTCAAACTCAACAGGGCATTTTTCTGAAGCACTGCACCGGAGCTTGCTTCAAATTGAGATAAACCACATGACTGATTATGTTTGAACCACTTCCCTGCTTCATTCAGATTGAATTAGATGACCGGCTTGGTTTGATAGGCAGAGCTTTGAAGCACTGGCGCAATACAAATGTATTTAAGATGGATGAAACAGCGCTCTGTGTCTTACCTCCTGTCAATACGTTTTGGATTTCTTCGCTCTGGAGCCATTGATCTGTGGAAGCTTCTTGACAAAGATGTAGAAGATGGCAGAAAATCCCAGAATGCTACTGTAGAAGCTATTGTGGAGGTTAAGCAATATCTGTCTGCTCCTCCTCTGGACAGATCACAAGAACCCCTCAGGTTACTGGATGATGCACCAATCCCTATACCCATACTTGTTCAACCTGGCCAAACAGTTCCTGGCGACACCAGCATCTTCTGTGCTGTGTGAAAAGGTCTTCGCCAAAGCTGGAGAAGTTGTCTGGGGGTGGGGGGGGGGGGGGAAGAGAAATCAACTGTGGAGACACTGTTTTGAATAAAGATGCCTTAGTCACACAAGCACACCCAGTGTACACCAAGCACAATCAAAAAACATTTACTATAACATTAATTACTCCACAGTGTCATCGAACCATGTAAATATTTGCTCTGTCCAGTGTGTAATTTGGGATTGATAATTATAAATCCATTTCTAATTCTTGGGGAAAAAAGATCACTTGGTTAGTCAACATTACATTTCAGATGCTTTATAAGGCAAGGAATAAAAACAACAGACACATGTAAAATGAAGTTAGATTTCAGCTTTAAGTAATTTCCACTATACAACAAAACTTAGTGCACAAGCAAGGTGCGTTGGCGTCACCTTTGCAAGGCTGTACAACAACCACTGTGCCAGCAGATGTCACCCACTTCCGAGTAGTGAACCAGTTTGGTCCAAATGGTTCAAAGGTTCATGGAGCCTTGTTCGGCCATCACTAGAGAAAACTATAATGATATAACGCACGTTAATGTAAAATGTGCTTTAATGACACGTTTACTCGAGGTGCTTCAAGTATGTTTTGGTACTATTGTGTTTTTCACCATTACCGGCTTAAAGCTAGCTACTAGCCACTAACCGTTAGCCATGACGGCTTAAAGCTAGCTACTAGCCACTAACCGTTAGCCATGACGGCTTAAAGCTAGCTACTAGCCACTAACCGTTAGCCATGACAGGTATTAGCATTAACAACAGAGTCGTGTCAGCTTCTGTTCGGAGCTGCGAATCCTCAAAGGTGACAACTGACATCTCGGGTCAAACTTGACAAAGGCTGTATTTTTATTGGATGTTGTTAATTAGATTTTTAAGGTTGCTGAGGTATAATTTTTAAAATGTTGTGACCTTAATTTATGCCAACGCTAACCTTGCTTACAGGGATACGCTATGTAAGTTAGCAAATTAAGATTGTAGCTGGTGGCGGTGCCCACTGACACAGCGTTAGCTAGCTTAGCATTACTTCTGGATATGTGTTTTTCATTTATGGAAATGCTTCACAGACTACACCGCTCACTCACCAAGCCTCACCTTGTGTATTTAAAAGGGTCGCTTGGATTTTAACAGTCTTTTGGTACAAGTTGCAGGCTGATATTTTGAGCAGACACTAACATTTTTCTGTTGCTCCTGCACACAGTAACTGCTAAAGTCACTTGCTAGTCATCAGATTCACCAATGATTTAAGGCAGTAATAAAAATAACACTGATGCCATGGTGTAAACAACTTCGGAAATGTGTAAATATTATACTGGTGTGTTGTGACTTTCCTTTTTTTACCATCTCGGGTACATTTTGGACTGCAACTTTTAAATCCATGTGCTGTTTTGATCGATTTTTGCGATCTCAACGGTTCCAGGATCGATTCTCAGTAACAGATCGATATCCAATAAAATAATTTGAGGTAGCCTAAATGTATATTTTATCATCCACAGGGGACACAGTAGAAAGCAAGTAGCTATCACTAGTACAGTCTAAAATACCATTTTAAAAAGGGGGGCCTCATGAAATTATTGTATGTAGGCTTTTCAAACCCATGTGCCCCATTACACTCAGTAGGCTACATAGGCATAATGTCTTCTTTTGACTGAACTTGTAAATTAGTCTCTTGGGAAGCATGTCCCACATGTTGTCACTTCAAACCAACTTTTTGACACTGGAGGACTTTGTATACCCAGTCTATAAAAGTGTTTTCTGGGGTAGGTTTTGGCTGAATAAGGGGGTTAGAGGCAGATTAATTCCACATCTAAATTGGATCTTTTGTCTGTGTGTATGTCCTCAGGCTTTGTGGAACTGAATCTAACAGACCAGATCCAACTGCTGAAGTGCTGCTGGCTGGAGATCCTGATGCTGGGCCTGATCTGGAGATCAGTGGACCATCCTGGAAAACTCATCTTCTCTCCTGACTTCAAACTCAACAGGTGGGAAAGTAACTTTCGCTCCATCATCAGTGCATCAGCAACTGACTGGACAAATTGTTCTGTTTTTGTGTTTTCTGATTTTTAAAGTCACAAACAGCATTACTGTCCTTGATGAACATATAGTATCAACACAACATATTGTCAGTGTTTTGGTTACCACACAGTGTTACTGTGGTGTTGGGAGGGGGTTACCTTTAGAGAGAGAACTTGGTGATGAAGTCTTACATCCCTGTGTCTGCATATTTCAGGTAATTTATTTAAAAATGGAACTAAATGATTCCCTTAAAGCTGACCAAACCCATTTGAGCTGAACAACTTGCTCTAAATGACTGTAAAGGTTTTGTCAAGTTGTTCGTGGGCCAGAGTGCAGCTGTAATGTTACTGGTCAATGTTTTTGTGAAACCTGTGTTTAAAGGCTTGTTGCTGTAGTGTTGTTGCATCTGCTTCTCCAGTGTATCAGCAGTAAATGTATGTTCTCATTTCAGTTGTCATGCTTTTAGGAGAATGAGGCTTAAAGTTATCTGGCACCATGCTGGGTTTCTGCTGCAGGGATATTTTTGATTTGAAAATGGATATATATATATAATATTCTCCTGAATTTTCTAAGGAACCTTATATTTTGCATTAACGAAGTTGACCTACTTTATAAAACTTTAGCTCAGTTAAGTGTCAGCTCAGTGATGCACGATTGCATATAGCAGTAACATACAGTAGGTATCAGTCATGTTCATATTTCAGAAACACTTCAAGAATTTAATTAATGCAGACTCAAGGCAGTTTCATGCTAGCAGTAGCTCCATGGTTCAAAGGGAGTTATCTCTACCTTCAGTGCTTTATCAGTGGGTAAGTCCAATGCAGAGCTGATTCACAGAAGCACTCTTCTGATGATCTGATTAATTAATGACAGAGAAAAGAAACTCAGTAAGTGGTGGAAAGTGAAGTACTTGTTCCCTGCTTTATTGGATTTGCTACTTTAGAGTTCTACTTCACTGTATTTCCAAGGGAAGTACTCTACTTTCACTCTACAGGTAGACTAGAGCAGTCCAAGTTGCTATTTTCTCTCCAACTCATTGCAGTTTAGAAAATATGAGGCATTATTATAGATTAAACCGGATGTATACAAAGTTTATGAAGTTAGTTTCATTATGACCGACATTAAATTGCTGCTTACATATAAATGCATCATGATAATATCCATAACTCTGTGAGAAGGGCAAATCCACTGCTTTTACTCAGGTAAAATTTGGATGTAGTGCTTGAATTTGTAATGGAATAATTCAACGCTGTTGCTATTTTTAATTAAGCAAAAGATCTGACATTGGAGAAATAATGTTCTGTCTGTTTCAAACAAAGGCCTGGTTCTGTCTCCACTCGATGTGCAGCATGGCTGCAGCCTGTGTTAGAGATTGTTTGGCCAGACACCAGTTGGTTGTTTCGCTCTTCATTAGCTGCAGTGGTTAATGAAACGTGTCCTTTCTGCTGTTTGAAGTGGAGCAGAATGATGTCAGGAGGTCAAGTTCACAGTGTGGGACCATAGCAAACTAACAAACACAGATGATGTGTAGTCGAACTGTTTTTGGCACATGTTATATATTGTAGAACTTGGCTTTTAAAGCAGAATCATGCCATATTATTATTCTTTTCTGTTTCTACCAGCCTGTGACCGACATGAAGTGTGTTACTTGATACTTGAGTAGCACCAACATGTGTACATATCAAACCAGTCCAGTTAATTCACACCTGTACTACTGGAGGACGAGGCCCTTGCACCATTGGACACTAGAAGCTCTGTTCATGTTCCAGCTTTTTGAACTTTAAAGGAGAGAAGCCAGGTCACATTACACGGCCAAGATTAGGAGGTAGTAGTAGAAGATTGTTGGTTCTGGTCTTTTTATGAGATGTGTTGACAAAAACTAATAGAGTAACTACTATGTGGAAAAAGAAGAGAGTGAGTTAATAAGTAAATTGAGATAAGGACAACAGAACACTGGTGTTGTTGTAGTTTGACCTTTCCTTCTCCACTACCACGGAAACTATCACTAGAGGCTTTGGTTAACCTTGGTGTGTTCTCACAACACTGCCTTCTTCCTCTGTGGTGGGGTCCCTGTCGGCCTCCGGTAGCCCTTTTTCCTTGGAGAGCTCAGGAAAACATCCTGGATGCTAATCCATCTGCTGAATCCACAGCAGCCTCAAACAAAGCCACGAAGCAGAACCATCACCTCCTGCTCTCTGTTTCATCTCCTTTTATTTTGCCACACATTTTGACCATCTTCTTTCACTCTTTCATTTAATCAGCCTTGTTTCACTCATTTGTGTCTGTGTGTCTTTAAAGCTGGTGTAGTTCAGATAAGAGTTGTCGTCACAGTGTGAGTTTAACTAGCTGGGTGGTTTTTGGTGTCTCAAAAATAGAATTTGTGCAAAGTTGTAGAAGATCACCGGACCATAGTTGATGTGTTTGTAGCCAGTCAACACTTGGAACATTGTTTTGGGAACAGATGTGAGGAACCTGGGAAAGGAAGGTTCATCCCAGGTCTGCAGTTCCCCGCATACATTTACATTGGAGTACAAATGCGGTCGGCTCCAGTTTATTTTACATTTTGGTTGCTGTTATCAAAGTAGCAGTAGAGAGTCACCTGGATTTGCATTGTCAGTGCTTTGTGTGAACTAATCAGCTGCAGTGTTCTGTCGCCTGTGGTCACCAGGAGGCGTAAACCGGTTTTCCGTGCCTCTACGAAACCCTGGCTGCATCTGTGTTGGCATGTTATACATTGAAATAAGGATCTGGCTTATTTACTTTGTAAACATGCATACAGTGTAGGCCAAGATGTCAGTTTATTAGGAACACCTGGCTCACACTAGGCCAGTCTAATCCAACAGTCTTACAGCAAACTCTCCTCCACGAAGGTGATCATGTTCAGTTGGTGTTTCAGAGACCTGTCGAGGCGACTGAGCGGCGTTATGTAAAGAGCTGTTTCACTTACTTAGCCGAGCTTCATTGATCTAAATGGGGTGGACATAATAATGGAAACAGCTGCTGTTGCTCTCTTTCCTTCTATCAGTTCTTCTTGATCCTGTTGCCTCTTCCTCTTTGGTCTTTCCATCTTTTCAGTCTCTTTGTTGGTTCTTCACCCTCTTTTTCTTGTTTGTCCATATTCTATCTGTTTCCCATGTTTTTATCCTCCCTTTGACTTTCTCCTTCATTTTCTCTGTTTCACCATCTCTTGTCTCTGTCTGTAGGGAGGAGGGACAGTGTGTGGAGGGCATCATGGAGATTTTCGACATGCTGCTGGCAGCCACTTCTCGTTTTCGTGAGATGAAACTTCAGAGGGAGGAGTATGTCTGTCTGAAGGCCATGATTCTCCTCAACTCCAGTGAGTTTTAGTGATGCAGACAAACCACTTTATTCCCTCTGAGCAGGGTATTTACTTTGCACTGAGCTACAAATCCTCCAGTTTGGTCTTTTTGGTTCTTGTAAAACCCAGATAAGTTTGTCATTTTGATTTGTTGCCTGTCACATTTGAGCCTTGTGATTAAAACAAAACTGACCAGAGCACAAACCCAATTTTACAAATATCACTAACTCTTTTTTCACCTAACACCCAAAGGTTTGATTGTCAGTAACACAAGATGAGCAATAATCACTCAACATAAATCAGTGTAGCGTCCCCAGTATATCTATCTCCATTTTTGTCTTTGACCCTGTTTGTTTGCATGTTAATCTCCTTGAACGGTATCAGAAAAACACATTCGGGTATGTTTTATTGAAATTTGGTGCAAATTCAGTCATTGTCTTTTCAGTGTGGATGTTGACACAGTGTGGCCTTTGGTAAACAGCCCAGCCTGCTTGTATTAACGGGCTGCTCATAGCTTGTACGTGAAGCCTTTTTGACTTGATTTAACCTTATTCCATGTGTCGCAGTTGCAACCAAATGAACATGAAAGAAGCAGTTCTCACACGATCCTGCAGGATTTGACATGTCGACCATAGTCGAAGCAACTTGATACGTTTAAAAGGTCTCAGTTGTTTTGAGTGTGATTCAGCCCTGATACTCGCAGGATTGATTTTATTCTCAAAAGCAGCAAGATTGTTTATCTTCACATGTATTTTCTAAGATCGGTCTAGATGCAGATTAAACTATTCATTATTATAAAGTGAACTCGGGGCAGAGTTCCATTGGCTTTAGGTTTTCTAGTATTTTACTGAAGTGAAGCTTGTAGAACAACTTGTCTGTTGTCCAGAACAATAAAATCCATTTCACAACTTCAGTCTTTTTCAGCATTGCACACCAGGGATACACTGCACTAGATTTTATCATCATCATTAAAAGTGCCGGTGATCCTCCCACAGTTGCACTGGCAGAGGTTTTGATGTATTTGGAGAAGGTTCTGGATGAAGTGACCTGTGGCCATGGACTTTATTGCTTTTCAGTTTTCAGCCTTTCATGTGCTCTGCGTGGTCACAGTGTCCTCTCCCAGCAGCAGACTCTGTACAGGTCTGACTGAAGTGACCGACCTCTGTGCATGTCCTCACAGAGTTGAATGAAGTTCCTGCCTAATACGTGCACACACACAAGGTTGTCTGCCAGACCCTGTCCTGTGCAGCTGACTCTGCTGCACTGCAGCTGAGATTGAGGGGAAAAAAGTTATGCAAGAAGTGAAACTGAGTCTGATAAGTCAGAAAACAGACTTGGCAAAGATGGACCGTTGCTCAACTGCTCAGTCCCCTGGTGGACAGATTTACAGCTTCTCTGTCAGACTGACAGATGTTTACAAGTGGTGGTCGCTGAAGAAACTCGGCTTTTAACAAGTAAATGGTTGAAACGGTCACAATTTGGTTTAAATCGACTTCAAATGGAATATGAGAAACCTGGATTTGGTTGTGGTGCCTTAGGCAGTCTTGTTTTTTTCTGCAGTAGCCAATGACGGTGATCAACAGGCATGTATTGTGGTGCATAATAAATACTGATGCTATCAGCTGTAGGTCTGTAGAAAGATGCACAAAGTAAATCTTAAAGCTTTACAGACTAGCGCTGAGTGTCCCTTTGTCTCTTTCAGACCTGTGTACCAGCCTCCCCCAGACGGCTGAGGAGCTGGAGAGCAGGAGCAAGCTGCTGCATCTACTGGACTCAGTCATCGATGCTCTCGTCTGGGCCATTTCCAAGTTGGGCCTGTCCACCCAGCAGCAGACCCTACGCCTCAGCCACCTCATCATGCTGCTCTCCCACATCCGCCAAGTCGGGTACAGACAGACACAGGAAACTGTGAAACAGCAGCAGAATCCAGAGGAGATGATCAGAGTAGTAATGTCAGCTAACCAGTTTCCTTAGCTAACGTAACTTAGCTAGCTGGATTTCTTCCAGTCTCTCAAAGGAGAAACTCTGAAAAACTTCTGATCAGATTTTGATGGTTTTCTTGGTCTTCCACTCCTGGATTTGCCTTTGACCTCTGGATTCTTCAGATTTCTTTAGAATACCTTGAACACCACTTTATCCAGTTAGATTATGTTTTTTAATACTGTGTACATATTTCCACCTGTATTTCTGATAAATTACATTTGAATAGGTTGCGATTTAACTATAGCATATGCATCAGGCTTTTATTGATTTTTAAGTTCTCAGAAATATGTTCCTGTCACTCTTTTGCATTTAAATACAGATGTTAATGTGGCCGAAGTCATCACTGAAATTAATGGCGGTTGATTTTTTGGACAGTGAAGGGTATACTTATTTTCAAACAAATCAAGTGGTCGCACTGAACAGCCAAATCTGAGTCGTCCAACGATATTCTTAGTCGTCATAACTTTGCTAAAACAGCAAACCTATTGGTGGACTAAGACGTTTGCACAGTACTGTATGTTAGAAATGTCTTTACTCCTGCTCTCCCTGTTGTTTCCATTCTGATACAGCAGAGGTTCATCTTTTACAGTGACTTAGATTTCTTTGACTTGTGCTTCCCCAGGTTCACTGTCCTCTCCTTTCCCTCTGCAGTAACAAAGGCATGGTTCACCTGTCCTCCATGAAGAGGAAGAACGTGGTGCTGGTGTACGACCTCCTCCTGGAGATGCTGGATGACAACGCATCCAGCAACAGTTGCACATCATCCTCGCCGAGCACAGACACTTACCAAACGCCTCTGTCTCACCTGCAGCCTGGCCCGGACTGCGCCCCCGCCGACCACACCACTGTGTTTCCCCATGGGCCCACTGAGCCTCTGATCCTGGACAGACACCTACAGGCTCTGCCCCTCTTGACCACACCTCCATCTCAGAGTTTGGTGACACCTCACATGGACAGCAACGAGTAAGTTCATGCGGTGGAAAGAAACTGCAGTGCTTTTACTCAAAGTAGTGAAATGAGCGAGAAATTCCATTTCACACTGGTGATGAAAGTATCACAGTGAAGAAAATTAAGAGTTTGATGGACAGGCTGAAACCTCCAATCTTCAGTTTTAGTGATTTATATGCTCAGTTGTAGAAACTAAGACCAAAAATTGAAGGAAGTAGAAAAACAAGAAGAAGTGAAGAGAGTAAAGACAGGAAGCACAAAGGGCAGAGGGGTAGGTATGAAGGAAGAATTGCAAGGAAAGGGGGAGAATAAAGGATCAGAGTAAAAAGATAATGAAAGGATAAAGAAAAAATGTACCTGTAAGAAGGAACAGCAGGATATAATGAGAGAAAAACAAGGAGCGATTGAAGAGGGGATAAAAAGGAACGTATGACAACGTATGGACCCCCTGCAGCAGCAGATGTTAAATGCATTTTTGATTTTTGATCAATGTCAACATCTTTGAAAACCTGCTTTTACTTCCAGGTTGATTGGTGGAAGGTTTATCCAATTAAAATGAAATGTACAGCACAATCTGAAAGTGAAGGGGCTGAATACTTTCTGAAGTGACCTGTAGGAAGAGGGGGGTGGGGGAGACACGAATAGAAGAGACTTTTGCCTGAGTACTGACGTAGGAGGCCCCTACACTTGTGTTCTTGCCACAGCTACTGCTTTGTTGTTGTTTTGTAATAACATTTCTAGAAAGACTTTTTCTAAGTACAGTTTGTTCTAGGGGCTGCGTTTCCTGTTGTCACTTCAGAAATGAACAGAATCTAAAATGTGAGCCGAACTAAAGTGTTAACACAGTAACTTTCCTCACAGTTACATCCAGTCAGAGCAGTGGTCGCTGGATTCAGGGGAAGCGGGTCCCTCAGTGGAGCCAGGGGGCTACATCAGCATCGACCGAGTTGTCATGGAAACAACGCTAGAGGGGTGATGGACTAAAAGAAACAAACTGAGACCGAAGCTTTGACTTCCCAGTCCCCAAAGATCAAGAAAAAAAAAGGACTTTTAAAGAAAGTGCTGTTGTGAGGTAAAGTTTTGATGTTTCCTTTTTGGTTTTTCTGTCTGAGATTAATTTAGGATTTTTCAGGGGGTCGATGGAGTGTTTATTGTGTGCTTAACTATTTCCTGGGAATGTGCACTACAGTTGGTGTTCTGAGAACATCACTGAACCTCTGCCAGTCAGTTTGTGCTCCTGTTTTTGATACAGTTTGTATCTTTTTCACCGCGGTGTCACGTCCAGAAAAACCCCTTCACAAACTGTCTGTAGCGACTCTTGAGTGCATGTGGTCAGCACAGTGAATGTCCATTTACCTAAGGGTTGTTGGTAGTCATACAGCTAAAAAGGACCGTGTTTTCAGTCGCACCGTGGTGACGTTGTCCTTCACTGCTACTGTGTATTTTGGTGTTTTTGTCGGTGCCTATTCAGCCTGGATTTTTCTACTCTTTGTGCAAACAAAGTGGTATGTGGCCTTTTAACTTAATGACTGTTATGTACCTTTCTTCTCTGTTCATCTGGTTAAACTAAGGCTGAATTTACACTATGTTGTGGCACAGACCTGGACCTAAATGCAGACCCGCTATTTTGGCTGTTATCTGTATTTTAGCAGTGTGAAATCTAACGTCCAGCTTTAAATGTTTTTAATAGAATTAAGTTGCAAATAAAACATAAAGCTCGTGTAGCATACCTGACATGTAAACTTGCATACATGATCCCTCCAAAAACTATTAGCACATTGCCATGCTAACTGTTATATATAGTTAGTGTAATGCTAAGTTACCTGAAAGTGTTTACACTAACTACATGTCAGAGGTTAGCTGAGCCGCTTCGTCATGTTAGCAGTGTAACAAGCTGCCAGATGTTGTAGACTGTCTGTGCATTAAAGTCATTTACTGAAACCTTATCTCTACCTTAAGAGTGAAGAGCTAAATATTAGCATATTACCATGCTAATTTACACATGGGCATACTAGCATTAGCACCTAGCTAAACAAGCTAACTTGCCAAAACAATGTTTTGTTTTAAAGAATTTTTTCTAAACAGAAAACAAAATAGAAAAATTGTCTAGATTATTATAAGGTAGATGTAATGATTTTAGTAGTAACTATTAAATTTTACAAGTTATGTTTTTAAACCTAAACTTCATTCATTAAAAAATGACTCTGCCCACGTCAGTAGTGTCGGTAGTAGTAGTGTTGTCAGACTACTGACTCGGCTTGTTTAGTGCTGTTTGGCTGTGGTTTCCACCAGAGCACAGCTGAGCTCACAAAGGTTCAAGCAAACCAAAAGGAATAAATGCTGTAGAAGTTCATGTATCATAAAGAAGCTGGTTGGAGTCGTGAGCTGTGCCACTTGTCTGTCGGCGTAGATTCAGCCTTGGTGCCAGATTATTCTACTACTGGTAAAAGACATACATGTGCACTCTTCTTGCTTTCCTGATGTCTGTGGCTTGTACGTGCATGAGCACGAACGCTCAAACAACAAGTCTGATGCTGAAAGTATTTGTCTTTACAGTTTGTGCACTACACACGACACCTGTGAAATGTGTTGAAAGTTTTGCCTGTCAGCTCTTAAGCAGTTGATACAGTAAACGTACATCAGCAAATCATGGCAAACAGTTTATTGTAAATCAAATATGACAATCTTTTACATCCCATAAATACAAGTCTGCAAAATAAATCATAGTCCATGTTTTGTGTTGGTCTGTTCTGAGGCTATGTACAACTTAGGATCAAACATCAGACTCCTCTCTGATATATTTGTTAGCATTGTAAGTTACCACGAATCGTCCATGATTGTGCATGTACACAAGTACATTCAATGCCCAAAGCATCGCTTACATTCATGTCCTGCTTGAGTCTGGCATGTTCCAGAATTTGACAGGAGTCCCAATGCCTGGAAGAGGAGCGTCTTACAGCAGCGTTCAGGTAAATGTCACATGTTGCAGTGTAACTGACGGTGCTTTTTATTTTTAATAATTCTTTGTCTGATGTCTGCAGGGCTTTACTCCATGGGGCCAAGTGTTGGGTAAGTCATGAACCTTTTCTTTGTTTTGGTATTTCTACATGAGAAGTAGTTGTGTGCTATTTGTTAAACAGTGGTGTAATGTTTGCTGCTGTTGATCTTTACACACAGGAGAGTTATTTTGGTATCGATATTAACAAGATCTTTAAAAAAATAATCCATTTAAAACCTCTTTAAGCAGTTATATCAACTCAGAAGTGTTAAATGGTAGTTTGTGCCAAACCCACAACTCTGCAGAGCTTTGTCTGGTTTTGCTGGTTTTACAGACTGGAGGGTTGAATCCTACACCACTGCAGGTGTAACATTTTCACAAAGCAACGTTAGAGTAGCCAGTGAAGACGATGTTGCTCTGTGTCTGCTGCTGTCTTGGCTAATGCAGCTTTAATCTGAGGAGCCATGCCTCTGTGCAAAACTGTAGGTTTATGATTTGCTGAAATGTTGAAGGCAAGTTTAAATACTCAAGGACAATGAGTAATATGCCAACTGAATGTTCTGCTATGGCAGGTAAAAACCAGCAGCACTTTGCTTTTGATTCTATTCATTGGAGGATTTCAGTGCCACATTTATTTCTTTCAGTAGTTTGCCACTATATACAAAATTACTAACACAAAAGTACATGATTGGCTACAGAAAGGCATGTGGGCAGTAACTCCCATCTAAAAAGGTCATCTTACAGATCTTTAAGTTAACCAACAAAATCTAAACCCGTCTTTTTATATCTGTACAAAATGTGCTGCCAGCTGACCTCGATGGAAGACGGTGGTAGAAACTGACCGGTGTACTGTGGATGCCTTGTTAGGAACTGTCCTTAAAATGTAGATACAACTCTCGTAACCCTGTTTTGTCTGCACCATATTATGGCAGAAACTCGGTGAGGACATTTTCTGGCAGACGTACGTCATAATCACAAAACTTTGATACAAACTAGGATTGTGGCTTTTTATGTAAGTGTTGAGCCCTAAACAATAAATAAGGGTTTTAAATACAAAGATAAAATTTAGAGTGCAAAACAAAAGACGAGGCCCTCAAATAGGAAACGGTGAACTTGGACTGGAACGCTGTCCATTTATTTCCAACCTCATGTGCTGTGTTCTTCTTCACAGGGCTCCAGTCAGCAGGAGAGCTCGGACAACTTTGCTGGTGAGTGGCAGCGTTCATGTGGGGGGAGGGCCGTTGGTGTAATGCAGCATGGGGTAGAAAGAACGAGCAAAGTTGTTGGAAAGTGCACAGCTGTAGTCCTCAGACAGAGGCACCAGGCAGGCCAGGACCAGCAGCAGGAAGAAGAGCAGCTGCAGGGGGAAGGCAGCTCGTAGCACCCGGTACAGGAAGGGGCGGTGTGGGGAAGCATCCCTCCTCTCCTGCCTGGACCAGGAGGAGGATTATGTTAGTTTAAACCAGGGAATGCAGCGTCATACTCAGTGGTCAATTTATTGGGAACACCAGTGTCAAACGAAGTGGGTTTAACCCAGCAGCCCTTCAGTAAATTCTCCTCCATGAAGGTGGTTGTGACTACTTCAGAGGTGCTGATGTTATACAGACAGGTGCTTCTGCTATTTAGCTTATCTTCATTGATATGAATTGGGGGTCAAAATAATAGGAACACCTGTCAGTTGAGCAGCACAAAGTGCAGCTGAATCAATACCTCTGAACACAAACACGATCACCTTCATGAAACGGGATTCACTGCAGGACTGTGGGGCTAGTTTGAGCTAGGTGTAGCTAATAAACTGACCACTGGATGTATTCTGAGGGCAGGAAGTCATAGGTGTTAGTGCATTAAACAAACCTTTGTGTTAAACTGAGTTTCAGGAGTGTTCCCAGTGATGACTTACAGCTGTGGACAGAGCCAGGCTCAGTGTCTCCCCTGCTCCTACACTAACTTAGCCCTGAGACACCTTGACCACTGGAAGTGGAGGCCAGCTGCATGTTCTGCAGGGCGAGAACATGCAGCTGGCCTCCACTTCCAGTGCTCAAGGCGTCTCAGCCTGATGAACTATTTGGCGTTTTGTGTATATGGAACCAGAGCTGGACATGGACACACTTGCCTGCCCGCTGCCTACAGAGTCTCACTGAGAGAGTAACCCCTTATGGGGGTTACTGAACACTTTAATAAGCAATGACTAGGTATAGTTAGAGCTTATAGGTTACCTTGTAGTCCCTGCTGGTCTGACTGGAGCTGCCTGGACACCAGCCTCCTCCTAAGGCCACAGGTCACAGCTGTTAAACACTTACACCTGACCCTAGTTCAGCTTGTTGTTCTGTGCTTTTGGACCTCCACTGACTCCCCACCCCAACACACATAAACGGCTCCACATTTCATGTCACCCAGTCACTGGGCTCAGTGGAGGTCTACAGCACAGACCTATAAGCTGAACCGGGGTCGGGATTCATACACAGTATTACTGCTTTTACTCTGTTTGGGACTGGGGGAGAATACGCAAAAGAGAAGTCTTCACTTTATCCTGACATGTCAACAGAAGAGCAAAGGGTAAAAAAAAAGCACCGGGGAGCTACAGCGACCACACACAAAATGCTAATTCTACATCAGTAATACGAGAACAGTAAAACACTCATAGTGGACACTTTCTGTAAGCACATTGTGTAATAATGTTGGCCTTGACTTTTTCACTGCTGGAGTTTTATGCTGTTTTAGTTACATCCGCTGATATAAATGTGGATATCTACAGCCACAACTAACTGTGCATTTGTAGCTCTGCTGTGTAAACATCACTGTACCTTGTGCAGCTGAGGAGAGCGGAGCATCCCTGGGACGATGCTGTCCACTTCAGAAGGGGCTGAGCAGGTTTCCTGAAACAGAACATCAGATATAGCTGATGACAGCTCAGGTCACAGACAGTTATTGTCCTTTTCTGTTTTCAGGAACATTGGAACATCGCACTGGTGTGTGTTTGCACTTCCTTCAGACAAGGACAACTATTTGAACAAAGTGTTCAGACGTGACGCTCAAAGTTATGCTGCTGTTTTGCTCATTGAAGCCTGATTTCTCTTCTCAATGCAAATGCTGACAGTAGAAACATACTCTACTGCCAACCTGCTGTGCACGGACTCCCAATAAATACTCTTAACTTTACCAACTGAACACTGTCTGTTTTCCTTTTACTTAGAACCACATTATAGCATCGTCCAGGAAACCTGGATGTTTAAAGGTCAGTGCCTTTGAGAAGTTTGCCTAGTTTATAAAAACAGAGAAAGGTGGACTTAACAGTATTTAGCAAAAAGCAGTTTCAGCACTGGTATCATTCATTAATTTAAATAGCTGATCTGATCATTTTAGCAGAAAAACCAGCTGCTCACACAGTAACAGTGGCAGAGTCCTGACGCATGAACCAGACTGAGGTTAAAAAAACGGGGACCTACCAGTCTTCCCTGCAGCACGTTCAGGTCATCAGCCGCCTGTCGCAGCAGCAGACGCAGCTTGTTGGCTATGACGTGGACCTTCTCTTTGGCCTCCATGGTGTCGTCTCGAGCCACCTCGGGCAGGAGGTGAGCGGAGATCTCCTGCAGCGAGGACACCTGCTGCTGACGACCTCTCAGCTCCTCCTGCACAGCCTGCAGCAGCAAAACACTGTTCACAGACAGAACACCACCCTGGAATCTTCTCATAACTAGCAAAAGGTTTCTAAGGAGGTTTGGAGCAGGCAGATGGTGAATTCTCTGTCTAATGATGAGTTTATAAGTGTTCCCTCTTTAAGCACAGTGCTGATTTACATGTACAAGCCACTGTGTTCTGCTGCAATCCCAGAAATGTGCTGGTGATAAAAGCACCATACAGTGACAGTGTAAACCGCCACCTGTTGGAAACCAATGACACTTGTATTTCTAGCTTCTGCCTTTGTTCCTTCAAATCCACTAATTCCCCCCCACCTCACTGAAACTCAACCAGCCTGGCACCGACCTTTGCCCTCCAATTAAACCATAGACCAAATCTTCATTTAACATGCTGATAACAGTTGCATGCTCACCATCAGCGTGTCTCGGTGCTCCAGCAGCGCAGAGCGAGGGGTCGACGGGTCGCTGACGTTTACAGAATGCAGTCTGTTCTCAGCCTGAGCGAGCCACAGCAGCAGGGCGTGCAGCATCTCATGAAACTCCTGCAGAACAATAACACAGGCCAGTGGTCTTAACATGCTTAGACTAAACATTGGGGGTCTTCTACTACAACTGCTTCACAGGCACAAGCTGCAGGTTGAAGTACACCAAGTGTGGCCATGTCTAACCTGACACTGCATGAGCGCAGAGCGCAGCCTCCCCTCCCAGCTCTCCAGGCCACTGCAGGCCTGCGTCCAGCTGTTGTTGGCTGAGCTGAGGGCTTCCTGCAGCTCCTGAAGCTCGACGCTGTCGCCAGGCAGGAAGTGGCAGCTGCTCAGGTTGATGGAGATCATCAGAGCCTTGTAGCTGTTGAAAGTCCTCTGTATCTCCTGAACAACAGAAACAGGATTAGTTTCCTCCAGCAGTTCATCACCTGTCTATTGACTTTCACCAGCTCATGTCATCGTAGTTATTTAAGGTGGAATAGAACCAGATTTAACAAAATAAAAGACTACTTCATTCTACCAGTGTCATGTCAGACATTACATTTTCAATTTCAATTGAATTTCTTTGGTTGCAAATCCAAAAGTTATTGATTTAGACTCAGAATTTGAGCAGGGACACACTGAGTTTTGGTGAATGAACAACTCGTTTACAAGAAAATTCCACAGGGACCCTTTAGGTCTTGAATACTCTCCTTATTTCTCTGAGTCTGTGACCGTTTCCCATTACTCTATACGTAACATTTTGTGGTGTACATCTCTTACAGGTGAGCCTTTAGTGACGATCATCGGTCCATTTGTATTGTACATGTTCTGTGTTACAGGCTGTAAAACACTAAATCTCCAAGTCAGCATCGCCAAGTTATTTTTCACGTTCGCTTCGTTAGGAGCTAAACTCAACGTGGCGTCTCAGGCGTGTTCGTGCTGGTACCTTGAGTTTCCCAACATCGACTTCAATATCTCGGATGCTTGTGGACGGTGCAAGCCGCTGCAGCCTCTCCAGCTCTGGCAGAACGCTGCCCAACCAGGAAGTGACATCACAGAGGTCAGTGTTGAGCTTCTGCCACTGCTCCAGGTCGTCCCTGATGTCCGCCTCGTTTTTGAACTTTTGTGCTTGTAGCAGCTCCCAGCGCTCGATCACACCTGAGAAGATACAAGAGGGGGATCTTAAACATGTAGCGAGATTTGGATTTCACCGTTAATATCAACCCAGGAGTTTGTGTACACGTGCAAATGTGAGCAAGCATTTTAGCACTTAACAACTATATAAGGTGAGAGCAGCAGTAGGTCACGGTGGTAAATGCAGCAGCAGTTCTGTCTCACAGCTTCTACATCAGCACTGGCACATTAAATGACATCTGTTTCCTGGAGCCAGTTTCCCAATGTGTGGATTTGTGGTTTTTCGGTGCTTTATATAATCACACACCACTGGGTTTTGGAGTGTTGGTCAAACTGGTCTGAAGGTGCCTGGGTTCCTGTGAAGGGCATTTCTCACCATTGTGTTGCACTGTATAAATTTAATGACTAATCAGTAAATTCAAACAGTGACCAGTACATCCACTAATAATGAGAAAATGCCTTAGCTGCATTTTGTGACCTGGACTGTTGCGGTGGCCGTTGCCCCGTGTTCCAGGACGTCAGAGTGACGCCTCTCACTCATGTGCTGATCTCGGTCACTGTACCTGTGCTGGTTTGTTTGTCGGCCGTGCTGCTGCTCAGACCAACATCCTCATCGCTCAGGATCAACTTGACTCTCTTGACACTGTCGACGCTGCCGCTGCACTCCGGCATCAGCTTAGCCTGAAAACACAGCATAACACAACTTAAACCTGAGACAGTTATTTTAAAAGACAAGCTTTCGTCTCACTTCATTTTGCAATAGAAACAAAGATCTGAAGGATTTTCATGCAAGTCTCCTCCTGTTCTGATGTGAAACTTAACATGGATGTGTTCGTGTGTGTTCGTCCTTACGTAGCCCTGCTGGTGGAACGGAGCACCGGCCATGTGTGCTGGTGACGAGCTCAGGCTTTGGATGATTTCTTGGGGAACTCGATTCTTCTCTGGGGAGCCGGGTTGGTGCCAGCTGGGCGGGTCAGTCGCCGACTTCACTGAGGAAAGACAAAAACCTTGAATAAAAGTGAAACTAAAGAAATCAAAAAATGGGCAAAACCAAAAAGATGAAAAGGGTTTCAAATAAACCAGAGACAGGGGAACAGAAAAAAAGGAATCATGACAAAAACCATAAGATTCATGAGATCACAATCATTTAACACGCAAAAATATGTGAACACACCACCACAAACAAGTGGACTTTAAACAAACATGCAGGTTTTATTTTTCATTTATAAAGATTTGATCTTGTGAAACAAAGTCTTGAGTCATAAGTTGTAAAGCACATGGCCACTTCTGCAGCCTGAGGTACACGCAGGTGGATCAGATCAGGGACGGGGATGTGGGGGTTGCTATGAGACGGGATGTGGATCAATAAACACACGATGCAGATGCATGCAGGAGGCAGAGTGCCTACCCGAGGCTGCTTTCGCTGCTCTGACAGTGGCTCTAACAAAGGATTCAGAGCACTCTGTGACCTCCACATCTGTAAGAAACAGTGGAGTCAGCAGCTGCTCTGTGAAGGATGGAGCTCTACACAAGTCATGAAGCAGAAGACAATGGGAGATCTGCACGAGAAGGCAGCTGTAAAACCTCTCCTTTGCTGTTATTTCATATTTTTCCTAACAAGTCCCATCAAAAGTCCCAACCCATCAGTCTCCTACTGAAGATGTGTTTTAATCCTTTCTGCTCTGGACACAGTGGAGCTTTATGGCGCAAAGGCAGGAGTTACATCGGGGCTTGGGAAACGCACAATCCTTGTTAGTAGGAGACGTTTATTGTTGGTTCTGGTCCTTTTGGGTTTATTGGCAAACACAAAAACATCAGCAAAGCCACCTTTTCGTCCACACAGTGACACTGCTGACCATTTGTCAGACATTAAAGACTAGTTTTCTACTTTTCCCACCGTTCATGCTTACTTTAAATTTCACTGCACAAACTTGTCAGACACATTAAAGAACTTGTACTGTTGCTGCTGGACGATGCAGGTGGACGCAGGGACTGTTGGAAACACTGTGTTGCTGTGTTCAACGATGTATCTGCTCAAGTTTCAAACAGCAACAACACTAGAAACACTTTTGAGGAGGCACTGGTCAGTTTTTGGACAAGTGGGAAGTGGCACTGGGAGTGTGTGACATGATGACAAACTAAAACCACATCTCCCACTGTGTTCTGTGTATTAAGATAAAGTGAAACCAGTACCTGTCTAAAAAATGTGCATTTAGACATTTGTACTAAAACATGACAAGAAGACTCTCAGCAGCTGTCGTTACCTGACAGAGCACTGAAGAAGGTGGCATCCTCGTCATCCTCGTGTGATGACGATCCTCCCACGTCAACCGTGTGGTCCCACTCCAGTGGGATGGAGTCCACGCTGACGGGGGTCTCTCTGCCTGAACGCTCCTGAGGGGGTGCCAAGAGGTGGCAAGTGGCCTGTTGTCCAGCTGAGACTCCACCTACCGCTGGAACTTCCTCCTCCTCCTCCTCTTTCTTCCTCGCCTCTCTCCATGAAGTCCCATTGGCCGCATCAGGAGAATCTCCCAGGTCTGTGTCATGGTCTGACAGCACCCTGTCCTCCTCCAGGACCTGCAGGGTGAAGGGGAGGACAGAGACAGTGAGCACCCTAAGAAGTAAATGTCAGTCAGGGAGGCACTTGTTCAGGTTAAATCATTCCTGGTGGTGGAGCGTGATCATGGCTCAACACTAAACTCCATGTCTGATACAACTCAGACATAATCAACCACTTTTCCTCTTAAACAAAATATTTCATAAAAATCAGGTTCCATTAGTTTTCACTATACAAAGTGTGTTGTCTTATGCTGAACCCAGAAACCATCACCACAGAAAAAGCTAATTAAAGGCTAATTTATAATCTATGAATTAGACTGAGGTGGTTCCATGCACACCCCAGCTCTGATAAGACCCCTAGTTCGCCTCCAGCCCTTGGTACGACTGACCGGCCGTCTGTTGACGAGGCGGTGGTGGAAGCGCGCCACCCGGCCAAACACCTCCTGGCAGTAGGAGTGGAGCTCCTCCAGCTCATCCTCAATCAGCACGGCATCCAGAGGGGCGCTCTTCTGGATCAGGTTCTCCCCAAACACAATCAGGGCGTCAATCTTGTCGGTGTTCAGGTTGATCTCCTGCTGGAAGCCCTGTGGAGGGACATAGCAGGCACTGAAGTCTTTAGTGGACCAGAGTAAACCGGCAACACAAACAGCATCAAAATATCGTCTCTTAATAAACAACACTCAAAAAGTTTGTCTTTAAATGAAGGTTAAACATGAAAACCGAGCTGTCGGTTATACACAGCGCAGTGTGCAGGCTTACGTTCAGCTGCCTCATCTTGTCCTCGATGTCGCTCTCAGAGAGGTGCTCCACGTCGGTGAGCAGCAGGTCCATCTCTGTCAGCCAGACCAGGATCCCCTCACGCGTTCCCTCAAAGTCTTCTCTCTGAGCGGTGAAGTGCTGCCGGAGCAGAGCAGAGGACACCCATCATCGTTTAGATGCTCTCCAGACAGACATAGCACAGCAAATGACATATTCACACATCCATAAATATTCATGTATCTCATTTATATGAAGACCACATTTAGTTCAACTGTGAGCCCTTATTGATACGATCTGTAAAACCCACTGTGGTCTCAGACGTCACAGTAACAGGGGCGCGTTTAATCCCCAAATGTTTAGATAGCTTTTGTTTTTTATTTGTCTAGTATATCCTAATAACTGCTCATAATTGAGGCTACATGACCAAACGATATTCAAAAGCTCACCTTGCTAATCGTCACATAATAAACAGGCAACAATCACGGTGGTTCTGTCTTTTCTGACGGTCCATTAACCAGAACAGCGCCTGTGTGTTTGCTTGTCAGCTGCTCCTACATGGCGCCAAGCTAATGCCGCGTACACAAACCGCCTTTTGTTTTCTAATCATCTGATGTAACGATGCTGCTGCACCTTCTTTTATATTCTACCAATCCATCCTGTGCACAGCTGCTCCTCCTGCCACTGTTGCCAGCACTTCCCCGATACTCAGTTGATTTGACACATTTTGCCTTCATTGTCATTCTCCCCTCTGTACATGTGCTACACTGAAATAATACACGACGTACCGTCTCTGGCTGTTGACACTGTTCACGCCAGTTGCCAGTTATTTGTAGCCCACATCCACACCGTCGTCTCATGATTCACCTAATGGCGGCTCCATTATCGTGTCACCTTTCAAAACCTCTTGCTTGTTTGTCTGCCACTTCATTTCCTTTTATGCTCTTCAGAGGTGGTTGTAGTGGTTAAACATAAATCAGATTCCAGAAGAAATATGTAGTAGAGCGGTATGTAGCTCATATTTGGTATTAGGGAGAGCTGAGTGATTATGGGTTTATTAAGTTCATGTTAGGTGGGTTTATGTACGTGGTCAAGATATTTCCTGTTTTGGAAGTACAGGGTTCCCGGAATAGAGGAGTGAGAAGGGGGGCCTGATAGACATCAAGTCCAGCTGTTGGGAAGTGGCTATGTAGCTGATAAAAAGGAGTGAGCCTGAGGGAAGAGAGAGAGGAGAAGGACCATGCTGCAGTGAACAGTAGACAATGTACTTTTTGGGGACCCAGCCGGCTGGGGAGAAGACGACTGACTGGGGGTGACAGGGAACTGACTCGGGACTGACACCAAATGACCTGACTGACTGGTGCTCTGTCAACCTTCTTATACTTTATCTATTCCATTGCAAGAGGAGAGTCTCTGTTCTCTGTCCCCTAACTACTAGATTATCTGTTTAAATACTACTCTATTCAGGATAACTAATATTAAATGATCCTTTAAATTGGAATGGTTTGTCTGAATTAATTTAGTCGGTATCTCACTCTTGCCACGACATGGTAAAAACAACTGAGGCAAGCACACAGCAATGACATAGGAATATTCTTCTTCTTCGGTGGTTTTGCCGGTGGTTGGTTATACCACTGACTGTAAATAAAAGCTGAAGAGCAGCTTTGAAACTCGAGTCTGGCCGTCGCCATATTGGTAGGCCATAGCGGGCGGAGAGACGACCTACCAGTGGGTGAGGTCATAGTGGGTTTGTCCAGCTTTTTTAAGCCAAGTCAACAGGTTAGACATTCTTCTTCTTCTTCTTCTTCTTCTCTGGAGTTTTGCAGTGGTTGGCGTCCTTAGCATTGCATTACTGCCACGTTTGTGATCCATGTCAACACACTGTCTTTTTAGTGTCTCGTGATTTTAACTGATTCAAAGTTTTTGGGAATTGAAGTTCGAACTATTTAAGCCAGTTTCATAACGCAGCTTTTATTGAAGTTACATGACGTGCAGTTGTTTCCGATCAACAGGGTTAAGCAATGAGGACACGTCTCACCTTGAGTCTACGGAGTACCGCTGCCACCCTCTTCTGCAGGCTGTCCCATCGCCAGTTCCCATCATGCACCATGACTTTAAGCTTGCTGGCAGCGTCAGTTCGGTTCTCCTGGGCCAGACGGCGGTATTGTTTGTTAACCAGCTCCAGCTGAGTGAGACGCTCATGAACCTGCCTCTGGAACGCCTGAGAGGGGAGAATGAAGTCAAATGAACAAGCTGTGAGAAGCCCAAGGCTTTTTAGTTTCTGTTGTAGCTTCTGAAAACAGAAGAAGGTAGAAGTTAAACTGTTACTTGATTCTGTATCACATTCAATTTACACACTTGTTTGTTTTTGTTCAGTTTACTCCTGAGCTTTGCACCAGGTTATTCACTGGAGCTGAACAGTTTACATGTCAAAATATAAAGTGTAAAAATGAAGATGACCCCAGACTTCTGAACGGTCATGGACATCACCCTACATAAGAGGTACCTGACTGGAGCTTGAATGACTGATTTACTGACTGATTTACACAAACAACTGTAAGACTGGTGCACGTCAGTCCAGCAGAAAACCTGAAACTATCTGCTCTCGGACTGAGACACACAGTGAACAGGATGAGTGTGTGACGGGTTAAACACTGTTATTTCCATCAGGTCAAAATAAGAGATGACTAGAAAACACCGAGTAGAACAAACTCCCTTTAATGCTGCAGTTGTTTAGTGTTTTTGTTCTGACACCAGCCTGTTACAGGAACATACGAGTCTATATTTTAAAACTGGGTAGAAATGAAAAGTGCTGATGTTTTGGACACATTTGAAGGAAAGACACAAAGTCATTTCCTTAAAAATGAAGCACTGGAATCATTGCTAAGTTTCTGTCAGTTAAGATGCTACTTTGCAAAAACAATGCAGGAAATAACAGTAAATAATAGTTTGTGGTCAAACGTGACTAGAAGGGTTTTAGATACTGACCTCAAACTTCTTGAGCTCCTCCTTGGCGCAGGTGTAAAGGACGTCAGCCGAGCCGGGGTTGGCTGCCGTGAGCTCAGCTGTCTTCAGCCAGTCTTCAAAGCGAGAGTAGTCGTCCAGAAACTTGCACCAGAGGCGCCAGGTCTCCTCGATCCTGAAACCAGCCACTTATTTTACCTTCCAGTCCGCTGAGAAATCCTTCACAACCTCCAGCCTCACACCTGCTCATGTCGGTCTGCAGTGACCACCTTGATATGCTTTCATTATTTTCTTTATCAAATGAGCACTGTCAAGGCTGTTGGACTGACTGATTCTTTACTGCTACACCTGCCCACCTCATTCTCCTCTCCATGGACATGGCGCAGATGTTCCTCCAGCGGCGGTCCAGGCTGCAGGTGGTCTGCTGGATCGGGTCGTTCTCCGAGTCGCTGCCACAGGCGTCAGCATCGTGGAGCAGGACATCACACAGCGTCAGCACAGACGCCACGCTCTCCGTGTGCTGCTCTATGTCTCGCTGCAGGTCCTGCAGGTCAAAGAGCACAGAAACGTGTTGGTTACAGCCACAGTCTGCAAACAAACCAAAGCCACTCACGTGGCTCCTTTATCGGACACACAGTACAACAACATTCTTGGAGGAAGACTCACATTTGAATTCTTCCTGGTATGGTCATTTGACTCTAACCATTTCGACAAGTATTCGTGCTTGAGTGCAACAAGTGATGGCTCAGTACAGGAGTGGAAGCAGTGTGAGGGGCAGTCAGTAGACAGTGTTCATCAAAACAACTGCTGTGTCCCACTACTCTAATCCAAACTGTTTGCAGTATGTAGTGTGTTCACACCAACAAAGTGATAAAACTGCACATGCTCACGTCAGTATTCATAGTAAACTGTGGGGTTATTGCAGTACTTCAGACTGTGACTGCTGGAGACCCGCTGTGTGTAGAGCTCCCTGTCTCAGGGTTGTTGACTCCTGCTTGTTCAAAGTTTCCCCGTCGCCATGGTGACTGGCGAATGCTTCAACATCCACACAGGAGTCAATGCATCCACTAATGGAGAGCGAGCTGGAGCCTGTTTCGGCCGACTGGCCCTGCATCTCGTCCTCCCTCTCCTGTTTTCTCTGCCTTTTTTTGGTTCTCTCACTCCGTCTCACTCCTCCTCTTTTTAACTGGAAAGCAAACATACTAGTGCAAATTTACAGACTAGAAACGTGACTTAACATCAAGAACACTGCCTGGTCAGACCGCGTTCAGTCACATTTCAGGTGTGTTTTAAATTTTGTTACTACCCTTGTTGCAAATACAAAGTAAGTAAGTACTTGGAGAGGAGAGAAAATATTTAACAAGATATTTCTGGTGCTTCAGCAAATGATGCTAGTTCACCCTGCTTCACTGTTAACTGAGCTCTGACCACAAAATCCATCATGAAACTCGAACAAATGTCCACTGACTCTCTCCATTATTAGCAGTAGACTAGATGGTGTTTACATGCAGCTTTTTACAAACCACCAACATGCTCAGAAAACGCTGCACCTCTCTGGAAAGCAATGGACAAAACCCATGAACAGGAGTTATATCAGAACCGACAGGGAAGATTAGATGAGTTGTCATGGTAACGAGGTGCACTACATGTGTTCTGTTTCTCCTCCAGTACAGACAGAATTAAGTGATGAGAGGACATCCACCACCTGAGCCAACTGGATTATGAGACTGCAAAGCTGTTCACATGCAGCTTGATGTTACTTATAAAGCCTCAGTGGAGCAGCTGAGCTGTTTTCTGTAGTTTGGGACATTTTGCAGATTCAAATTTACTCCAGCTACTGATGATGCACAACATATCAACTGGGATGGAAGCACAACAAGAATACAAAATAATGTAAACACACCGTCCTTGGCTTTTGACAGTCAAGTCTCATTTTGTGCAGTTTATTTGTAACGTGCTGTGTCTAAAATGGTCCCTGGGCTGATGTGGTTTCCAGCAATAAGCTTCCATCAGAGTTTGACAGATTCGTTTGTGCTTTCTGAGTGAAGCTGTCACAGTCCATATGTTGCTGCCACTTTAGCAGGTTCACACAAAGACATACAAATATGATCAAGATATTGCTGAAGGCAGTGAAGTAGACAACTTACTACAGCAGAAAAATCTAATCTAATTCAGTTTCCTCTGTCTGAAACCTCCCCCCCTCCACTCCCTCTCAAAACACAATCTTTTTCCATCTAGAAAAGCAGCCGTCCACAGACTACAAATGGACTAACAGGCTGAAGTCCATTTCCTTTTTTCGGGCCGCCCTCTAAGGCCTGTCTCTTGGTACATTTACCGTCACTCAGCCCAGCGTGACGCTTCCTCCTTCACAAATACCCCTCTTGTATCTTGCTGAGATATTACTTTGCAGCAGACATTACTCGACTCCTCTGTTATTATGCGGTGGATTGCTACAGGGCGGCCACAACATGGAAGGTTTAAAAGCAGGTACACTGCATGTCACCTAGATATTCCCTCCAAGTGCCATGTGGTCTCTCCTGTCCCAGTGGACTCGCCATTTTTGCCCTGTGTAAATTTGAGATGGCTTTTTAAAGCCCTTGCTTTTGTCTTGAAGATGTGGCGCACAGCATTTCTACAATGCTGTGTTTTTCCTCACCGTGAATTCCCATTTGAAAGTTTTCTCTTACTGATATTTCTCATTGTTCCTCCACACAGACATGCAGGAGTCTCCTGTTTTATTATTCTCCCTTTCTTTCAGTTTAATACGGCGAATGGCTCTAAATACTACAAAACCAGTGACAGTAGAGAAGAAGCAACGGTGCTTTGAAACTGTAACACAGTACCGTGCCATAGTTTGAGTTGATTTAAAACTGAATCTGACGGTGAACTGATTTAAAGGAGTATTCCAGCGGTTTAGTGTTGTACTTCCATAAAGTTAAGGGATCTGGGAGACAGGTTTGAACAGAGAAGGTCAAAATAGGGGCAGGTTAAACTGAGGTAACCAGACTTTCTTTCCCTGATATTGATGTTCACTCACTTTAGGGACAGAGAGTCTGGTTACCATCACAACAAGCAGACAGCTGCTGTCACAGCAGTGGAGAGAGGGACCCCAGGAGAAGTTAAACTAAAGTCTACAACACCTATGGCCGTTACCGTACGTGCAATAAAACCTTCACGAGTAAAAATCCAGTGAGAGTAATTTAAGGAAACACCTGCTAAACAAGCATAAACCTGCAGAGAAGCCACAGTTTCAGCTTTGTCCACAGTCTGCGAGCTTGTTAGGCGAGCAGCTAATAGTTAGCTTAACTGTCCAGTGCCAGGCCCATTATTTAATGGTCTAATGCCACAGTTCTGTCTTTTCAGCAACACTTTTCTAACTTGTATAATGTGTTTAGAAACAAATCACTGACTTTGCTTTACCCGAACTTTGATATGGTGACAAAACCTGCACAAACCTGCTGCTCAGCCAACTTCCTCTGAATCTCGTCGCTGTGGCAAACACTGTAGACCACCGGCTTCGCCAGCTCCACCTCGATACGAGACAACCACGTCCGCAGGTTGCTCATGTTCTTATCGAGCTGCTGCACTGTCACCTGCGTCTCCTTCAGCTTCCTCACCCTGCAGAGAGAGAACAGTCATGTTACAGAGGGTGCTGCCGCAGTTTGGCTGGTCAAAGGTCATTTTCCCTAAAACCTGAAACTAGCAAACTGCTGTATTTACACCAAGTGCTCTGGTCCTTCTCTCTCCTACATAGACAGATAGACACGGACACAAAGCTGGGACACAAGCATTGTACACCTGATCCCACAATTAAATTACAAATGATCCTCCTGGGGTGTACTGCTCTGTAATAAGATTATTAAAAATGCTGCATGTCGTTACTTTTAAATTGTTGAATGGACTTGCTCCTCATTATTTGTCTAATTCTTTGTAAACCACATCTTCCTCAGGTCTCAGGCAGCTGTTTGGTTATGTCCGACCGTCCCAAACATCAGGTTAAAAAAAATAGAGGAGGTCGTGCCTTTGCATTTACATACATCTGTGCGTGCGTGTGTGCGTGCAGGGCTGCATTTCTCTACAGTAGGTGAGGATGTGGCAGTATGGAGGGGCGGAGCGTGACACCAGTGACATCAGCAACACGCTGCTGTGATCGCAGACATTTAAAGGCTCAGCGCATACACACACACACACACAGCCATGCACACCCGCTGTTCACGCCACCACCTTGCATAAACTCCAACACACAAGCCGACTGGAGCTGAACTGAATTTGCTCTCAGTGACTCGATGTGTGTGTGTGACTACACATGCCTGCACTGAAAAAGCCCAGCCCATTTTTTTTCCTGGTCTGCCTCTCCCCCACCTCCTCCTCCTCCTGCTGCTGATTCATCTCTTTATCACAGGAAAACACCCGATCTGTCCCCTTTGACCCAGATGCCTCCGGAGCCTCGTGCCGTCCGGGATGGCCGGGGCACGATTAAGGTTTGGGATCAGGACAAGAGGTACTTACAGACTGGTGAGGAGGCTACTCCATGGCGATGGCTCATCCGCTAGCAAGCACTGCCCACCCCCTCCCCCCCTGGAGTCTGCCTGTCCCCTCCTCCTCCCCCTCTCCATCCTCTCTCCTCCTCTTCCAGCTTTGACAAACAGCTGGACACAATAACAGGTTCATACAAGGATGCAAAGCTTCGTAAGTTCCTTAGTAAGATTTGGAAAATAATATACATATATATATACATATATATAAAATATAGTCCCCACTCGCCCCCCCCCCCACTTTGGGGCGG